GGGGCGACGGAGGATCTAGGTGCACCTGCGGGGGGCAGGGCGTGGAGCGCGCTCGCCACGGTCACGGGGCGCGACCAGCTGGTGTTTTTCCCGAGGGGGGTCACCAGGGTGCGAAGTGCGGGACCTTCTCCACGGCGGTGACTTGGTGGGGGGTGAGGGGGGGAGATGATCCTAGAGGAGGCGGAGGTGCCTCACCGCCTTGCGGATCCTGGGAGGAGGGAGTGTTGGGGGAGGTGGATGGGGCGACTGTCACTCGCTCATTCACTCCATCCTTAGGCAGGGAATGGGGCTTCCCCCCAGTGGGCTTCATTGAGTCATTCATTAACTCGGCAAGCTTCTAACGAGTGCCTACTGTGTGCTAGGCGCTGGGGGTTCCCAGACAACCCTTCACCTGAGGCTCCAGCATCTGATAGATAAGGTGGGTGGTCACGGCCTCAGCCTCAGGGTCCCCCTACTCAGGAGGGGCTCAGCCTGGATGGATTGGAGTTTTGGAGTGAGAAAGGAAGGGAGAAAAGTTCATTCACTCATTCGTGGATTGGACAAAGATTGGCTGAGCACCTACTATGCACAGCTCACCCTGCCAAGAGCCTAGCAGCTATTATTTCATTCATTTAACAAACAGTTACTGAGGCCCGCGCTGGGGAGAGAACATGGAAGGAGAAGGATGGGGTGGGGACGGATAGGGAGGAGGGCGGCTGACAGCTAAAGAGAATTAAGACCCAGCCCTCCCTTGAAGAGCCCCCAGCCTATGGGGTGGCTGTCCTGAGCAGCCCCCGTGTGTGTAGGGCAGAAAGTCACTGGACACGTTGTGGAAGAGCCCTTCCGTGGCCATGGAGTGTGTTCATTCCCCAGGGGAGAAGGCAGTCTGGAACAGGTTCTAGGGTAGAAGGAAAGGGTCTTTCAGAGGCTCCTTAGGGGCAGGTGGGAATGGGGAGGAGGGTTGAGAAACACTGATCTAACATCACAGAGGAAGGCAGGCTCCCACCCATGAGGCCCATGAGTTAGCTGTCCATTCAGCAGGCATTTTCTTAAACACTTGCTATTCTTACGCACTTGCAGGGTGCCAGGCACCTAAGTCACCCAGGTGGATGAGACAGACCCAGAGACACACACCCCCCCACCCCCCCACCCCGCCTTTGCTGACACCTAGAGATAAGTTCAGGGGGAGTGAGAGGAGGGAGCGGGAGCTGATTCATTGCACACTGGGAGGGATAGGGGGAGGCTCCTGCCTCTGTGAATCTGAGCAGAGGTTTGTCATAGGGCGTGTTTGATACCCACACATGTTACTGCAGTCAGAGCCACTATGGGCAGCCTCCCCAGGGAGTTTCTCGCTGCTGCTGGAGACCAGCCCCGCTGCCGGGCCAGGGGAGGGGGAGGGGCGCATGGCCAGGGTCTGGACTTCTCAGGCTGTGCTGGACCTGAGCTTGACCCCTATGCCCTCTTCCTGGGAGCTCTGCAGAGCACCTGCTGAGTGGGGCAGTGTCGGAAACTTGGGCAGGATGGCCCCTGGGGATGGCCCTCAGCAGCCATTCCCTAGCCCAGCCCTCTCCAGCAGGAAGATGTCTGTTGTGGGACACATTCCAAACCCACGGGGAGCCATGAATGTGCTGGAAACAAGACAGCGTGGATTCCTGCCTGGAGGCTTGAGAACGCAGGCTGCCCTGCAGCCGCCTGGGGTCCCACCACCACCTTGAATTCTCTGCACCAGGCACACAACTGGGCTCTGGCAAGAGGTGAGGGAGTTGCCCCTGGGAAGAGAACAGAGACCTGTGTCCTGAGATTCAAGGGATTAACCCTCTGGACCCTGCAGGGTGTCTTGACTGGGCCAGCCTTTCTCCACATCCCTTTTCTTGTATGTGATAAAGAGTCAACATTTCCCGTTGTCGAAAGATATAGAGGTCTGGGAAGCCACTCTTGGTTGACTCATTAAACCCAGAAATGGAGTCCCTGAGTGGGAAATGGCGGCTGGAAGAGCCACTCCAAGTAGAATTAACAGAAAGGGAGAGGCAAGAAGGTCTAGCAGCAAGCACTCAATCACTGTTGGCCATTTTTATTATATAGCCGGCTGTGTTTGATTAACAAAATCAGAACACAGAGTGAACGTCTACAGATAGGATCTGAGCTGTGCCTCGGATTTTCCCCTGCTCTGCGGGGCCTCACGCCTGCCAGCGCCTCACGCCTCCCGGGGCGGGCAGGCAGGCACCCCCATGCTGTTCCCTCCTCCCTTCCTCACCTCCCCACCCTGGCTTACCCCACAGACTTCAGCCATCACCCTCGCTAAGGAAAAAGAACTGAGGGGTGATTCAAGCAGGTGGCTCCTTCCTGCTGTCCCAAGGCCCCCACTGCGTCCCCAAGCCTGCTCCTTTGCTTACGCCTGTGTTCCCGAATTTCACCCAGCAAGGAGACAAATAGAAAGGGCCTTCTGGCTCGCACCCCGAAACACCTCCTGGTGGAAGGCAAATGTGCATTTGGTGGTATTTTGCAGCAGCTGAGTGAGGAGGCTCTAGAGGCTGCCTCTGTCTCTTTTTCTGGGTGTGGGGGGTGAGGGGGGCAGGTGACTCTGGCATATGTACTCATGTGGGGGCAGGTGGGGGGTGGAGGGAAGAGCCCAGCTCCCAGAAAATATACCCCCCACCCAGGAACTTGGGCCCCAGCTCAAAAGAAGCCGGCCGAGGTTCAGCCTGGTTGGATTACGATGAGGATGGACGGCAGGCAGCTAGGAAAGCTCTCCCCGTGGGTACAGCATCTCTCGGAGAGATTCGACATGCCAGGACCTGGGCCGGGCTAATGGCTGGATCCATTTTGATTCACGTTTTGATTGGAGATTAATGCGGCATCCCCCAAGTCTGAGTCATCCCAGCCAGGAGCCCTCACCCTGGCCGAGGAAGCCGCACTGGCAGGGGAAGGGCAGCGTGGAGAGGGCCATGGGCCCCCTGACACCTGCTTGGGATGCGGGAAGGACACAGGTTGGGAAGTGTGGTGTGAGAAGGAACCTCAGGAGCTCAGGGAAGAAATGCTTTTCTTTTAAGAAGTTGCCTTGGAGGCTGTGTTAGTTAATGACCGTTGCAGATTACCACCCATTTCGTGGCTTAAAGCAACACAGATGTATTGTCTTCCAGTGTTTGGAGATCAGAAGTTCAAAGTGGGCCTCTGGGCTAACTTCAAGGGTTCAGCAGGGCTGTGCTCCTTCTGGAAAGGATCCATTTCTTTGCCTTTTCCAGCTTCTAGAAGCTGCCTGCATCCTTGGCCCCTGCCCCGCATCACTCCAACCTCTGCTTCCGTCATCACACTCTGACTCGGACCCTCCTCCCTCCCTCCTACAAAGACCCCCGTGAGTACACAGGGCCCACAGACGACCCAAACCATCTGATCTTCTCCCCATCTCCAGATCCTGCGTTGAATCACACCAGCAAAATCTCTCGACGTGTAAGGTAGCCTAGCCCCAGGTTCCGGGGATGAGGATGTGGACGTCTTTGGGGGACCACTATTCTGCCCACCATAGGGGCGTGTCTCACCAGTGTCTGTTAGAGAGAGTGAGCCAGAGACCCCACCCTCGCGCCTGGCGGGTGCCACAGGAGGGCTTCTGCCCAGAAGCCAAAATGGCAACTCGGAATTTGACAAACGCAGGCATTTTGTTGATTCCTTCCTCTGCTCCTGTGCAAGTGCACAATAGGAATAAAGATGTTTCCCCCGGCCTCGAGCACCCGCCTGCTTCTCCGCATCCCTAAAGACCATCCGAACGTTTGTCTGAAGAAAACAGAGCTGAGAGACCCAGGTGGTGGCGACATGCACCCCACGGGAAAGGACCTCTGGCTCGCACCCCAGAACACCTCCGGGGAGGCAGGGAAATGCAGAGTCAGAGGGATCTGGTTTGGAGTCCCACAGGCTTAGTCTGATTTTGGCTTCGTCACTTCTCAAAGCCTCAGTTTCCTCATCTGCAAAGTGGGGGAGTTAATGGTAACACCTGCCTCTGAGGGAAGGATGTGGCTCACGGAATTAAGGCTCTTACACGGGGCCTGGCACTTACTGTGCGAGTGAGGGAGGCTGAGATTGCTGCTGTTATAGCGCCATGACTGTTTAGCATGTGCGTGCGCTCTGTCTGTCTGTCTGCAGCCCCCCCCCCCCCCCCCCCCCGGAAGAGGGGGACAGAGAGCTGTCCTAAGGATGAGCATAGGATGGAAGGGCGGAGTCCCCTCCTGCTCCCTGCTCCTACCCCACCAAGCTGTGCATCCCTACCCGAGTCAGACCCTGACCGCAGAGCAGCCTCATGGTGGGGCTGCCACTCAGAACTGCTTACGGTTTGAATTCTCATTTGTCTTTGGAAACGTGTGCTCAGCCCTCAGTCATTGCGGGTGAACATCCTCCTCCCAAGAGGACAGGAGAGCTCGCATGGGAGTGTCGGTGGACCTGCTGGCTCACACCGGGGAGTTGATCAGGCCGTTCCCAATGCAGTTTTTTCTCTCAAACCAGAGGGTTTCCACTTCTCCAGTGAATCTCCCCAAATGTAGGGCCCACAGAGCCTTCCAGAACCCCAAGGACATTGAGAGATTGGGCAAGGGGCTCCCCTCCAAAGCTCAGAGCAGCTCTTGCACCCCAGTCCCTGGGGGATCTCTCGACGTTCGTGGCATCCTTTCTTTCTCTCCTGAGCATTTGTGAGACTTTCTAAGGGAACCTGTCAAAATGCCCACTCCTGGGCCTCCCCTCCAGCATCTGGGTACGAAGGTCTGGGAGAGGCTGGGACGTCTGCATCTCCACTGAGCATCAGGCCAAGTCAGAACCCAGTGGCTTGGTTGCTCTTATGCTTCCATTTTTCTTTTTCTTTCTTTTTTTTTTTTCTTTACCTGGATTAAAGCCCAGGGTTGTGTTAACCACACTCTGTCTACTTCTCTCTTCATCCTGGGCCTGGGCTGGGCCATATAATTCACTGGCCCCTTCCTTGCAGTCCCCATTCCCCACGCTTGTCCCCCTTTCCCTCCCTCCAGGCACCCTCCCCGTGGGTGATATAGATCCCTACATGTACATGAGTCTTTGTAAAATATGTAAAAGTGTGTGTGCTCATTTACATAAATAGCATAGTGCTATAAACTTCTGTTTCTTTTTCCACTCAGCACCATGTTTCCAAGACCTAAATGTGTTGCTAAATCTACATCTAGTTTGTTGCTTCCAATTCCTGTGCCATCTACAGGGGTCCACCATCTGCATCTACCACGACTCCCTTGTCCATCCCCCCAACCCCGCCCCGATGGACACGAGGGGACCTCTTAGCACGACCCGCAACATGGGATGCACATTCTTGTACCTTGTTCCTCTCTTATATTTGATTCCCCAGAAGTAGATCCTGAGTCAAGGATTTGAGTGCAAATAATTTATTACCGCAATGTCTGCCAAGACCCCAGTAAACCCAGATCTGAGAAATCTACCCACAGTGGGATTCCTGGGTCACAAGGCAGCAGCCTCCTTCATTTCCCTCCGCATCCTGGCGGCTTTCCCAGAGGCAGCACCAGACCACATCCCCCCAGCAATGGGCTCTGAGGCTCAGACAATGCTGGATTCAAATCCCACTGGACCAGGTCAAGAAAAGAGTCACCCTTGGCTGGTGGAAGGAGAGATGACAGACTCTTCCCCCCCCGCCCCCATAGCTTATAATAATACAGCAGGTGTCCATTGCATGTCCGGCATTGGGACAATCATGTCACTGTGTCATTTGCTTTAGTCTTCACCACAACTCAAGGAGGCGGGAGCTATTCATATCCCCATTTTACAGATGAGGAAACTGAGTCTCAGAAGCAAGACATGTCTTGCCCAGAGTCACAGTGACTGGCCTTGAACCCGGGCCTCCGGATTTCAGAGCCCGTGGGCTCTTCTGCTTCCCCAGCTTGGGGTGGTCAGCAAGTTGTCCCTCAAGCTGGAATCCATAGGCCCTCAGAGGTAAAATCACTATCGTCCATCATGCTCTCGAAGTGACAGACCCAACACAACAGAGAACTTTTAAAAGACCGGGTTTTCTGTGAGGGTGTCAGGCTGGGTGAGAAGTGGCGTTACTTTTCCGAAGCAGGACTTGGCGGCCTGTTGGATTTATGACCCTCACTGGGGACTGTAGAGTCCGGAGCATGTGGAGCCGTCCCCCGACACCCATTGGACTGGGAGCGAGGAGAAGTGTGCCCATTCCTCAGCTAGCAAATGCCAGGTGTGGCCCTCTGAGGACGAGTGGCCTGAATGACGTTTGCTTCTCCCTCTTCTCCATCCTGAACCGTCTGCTGAGACAGGATAACTTTTCACACAGACACGGAGGCTGTAACTCACAACAGACCCCGGTGGTGAGAGAAAGAAAGGAGTTAACACGCACTGGGGGAGCTTCCGGCTGGAGGGGACGCTGGGGGCGGGAAGAAGAAATTCCTCAAGAGCAGAGGGGGTGACAGCGTGTGGGTTTCACAGGAGCCCTCTGGGGCTTGCAGGGCCAGAGGAATGTCATCATCATTCTCGCCAAACAGAATGTCGGGTTCCTCTTGTCTTCGGTGGCAAAGATACAGCAGCAGAGCTGAAGATGATGGTCGGGGTGTGAAGTGCCTAAAGGGGACGCCTGTCACTCTTGGCAGGGGGGCGGGGAAGGGGGGGATTATGGCAGCTTTGCCTGAGGAGATGGACTCCAATTTTAGGTCAAGTTAATAGCATTCTCAATACTCTAAAATCAAATCATTTTTATTTCAAGCACAGGTATAACCTAGTTTTTCCAAACCCAACCTGTGAAACTAGCTTTCCCCAAAGGTAAATGAGTGACGAAACCATCACTTTTGAAGGAGGATTCCTGTTAGGAAAGATCTCCTCCCCAAACCCCACCCTGACTCCTATTAAACACCGTTTCTCATCTGAACAGGTGTGTGTGTGTGTGTGTGTGTGTGTGTGTGTGTGTGTGTCCAGGGTACACATTGACACTCAGGTACTGGAAATGAGTTTCCATGTGGAATTGATGGATTTTGATGGTGCCACGTGCTTCCGTGGGGACTGGGTTTGGAGGAGGGATGGTGCTTTTATAAAGCAACTAAAGGCCCGGTACACGAATTCGTGCAGGGGTGGGGTCCCGCCCGAGCCTGATAGG